GTCTGAGCTGAAGCTAGTAGTAGGATAGTGGATCCAAAACGGATAGCGCACACAAGAACCTACTTGTAGCATCCGTGCAAATTGAGTCGGCGGTATCTGCGATTCAGCAGTGAATGACGACAAACATCTGCTCTCTTGACTGCACTGGTCCATGCACTAATGAGCCGCTACTTCTGGCGGAAACACAGATCCCGCGCGATGTCTTAAACAGTTTCTGTATCGCGCCTCGAAACGCATTGTATTGGGGCAGGAGCCACTAGTATAGGAGCCTTAACAATTAGAATATGGGATTGGTGTCCATTGTACTGTAACAAAAATAAGGAACACCCAAAAAATAGGTATTTCTTCAGGCTCCTATAGTATGTTTGCCCCAGTACCACAGGATCACCAGGCCCAAGGGATGGCTAAGTGGGAGCTTCCCGTCCTGCGCTATCAAATGGCAGGATGGTTTCCCGACAAATCCTTCCAGCAATGGCCAGAACTCAGATGAACGTGCTGGGCTTCAGTGCGGTGCAGAGAATAGCAGAAGCTAGGTCCAGGTTGGGACAAGCGAGTGCCATGCTGGTTTCAGGATTCGGCCATCCATCTTTGCTCCGTCTACACCTACTCCGGCACAATCACCAACGGACAGCCCAGGAAAGTTGCCAGCAAAGGCGCATCAAGCCTGCACACGGGTCGCTTGAGGCTCCATAGTAGTTCCTTTTTGTGGTTCATATTTAGAATCCTACAAGGTATTACATAAAACAAGGAACTACTATGGAGCCTATGGGTAGCTCTCTAAATTAAAGTTCCTCTGTAGGTCCCAAACATTGTACGGCACCCTAACTTCACGAGACCCTAAATGGAACCCTAATTCAGAGAGCTACCCAAGTAGCGCTGGCCTGTGGCTAGGCAGGATGGCCCTTCCCGGCTCTTATAGATCTCCCTAAACCCTACACTCCGTTATATGTGATTATCGTTCTTATTACTTTTGTTGTTGTTTTTTGTTATTGCTACTGTTGTTGTTTTAACTACTATCGTTATTCCTATTATTTGTTATCATATTTACTAGTATCACTATTGCTCCCTGAACCCTAAACCCCTATATGGGAGTTTCCGAAAATGTGGGGACCCAATATATAGTACCTTTAAATAGTATGATTCTTATGATTAGGACCACCAAAATAAGGTACCCCTAATTTTCGGAAACTCCTACATTCATGGATTTGCATAGATCCCCAGAACCGCCAGCAGGGCAAAGACTGAAAGCCTTCGCATCAGCGGCTTTTAGTTACTAAGGTTTAGTCATGGGGACCCTTAGGGGGCAGGGTTTAGGGGTTTAGGGGGTAGGGTTTAGGGTTTAGGGGTTTAGGGTTTCGCAGTTAGTAGGGTTTTGGGTTTAGGGGTAGGGGGCAGGGGGCCTCAGTACCTAGAATACGGACTTAACAAGGCCGACTTAAGGAAGTATAGTCAGTCCCCTACCCCCCCTCCCCCTACCCCCTCTAAGGGTCCCTGTGGTTTAGGGCAAACTTTTCTGTCTGGGAATGGGGGAATGGATCCTTATAGTCATCGTCCCTTTCCAATCCCTTATAGTAGTCCCAATAACCCATTTAACCCTAAACCCTAAACCCATTCCCTACTAAGAACCAGACAGCTTCAAGTGGAAGCTCGTGCCTCTTCTTGGCCACAGCCTCCGCGGGTACCACCACCTGCACTGCAAGAAGAACTGGGTAAAACAGGGCTACTGCGGGCTACTCGGTCATCTTGGCCCTCCCCTACAGCATGGCTGTAATGCAGGGGCCTGAATAAGTAGAAGAGGGCTGCGGTGTTTATGAAACTGTAAATATATTAAGGATCCAGTATCGGGCGATGTGACATGGACACAATATGATAGGTCATGCATCAGGTGGACCCGAAGAGCAATATGCAAAGAGCCTCCGTCGAACCCAGTTGCTCCGCAGCATCTGCAATAGCAGCGGCTGGGGCGGCATCTGGTGACAAAACGGCAGAGAGCTGGTCTTTTGCGGGGCTTGGGTGGTGTGTCATGGCCTCTACCCATAGGCCCCAAAGTAGTTCCTTGTTGGGGTTCATATTTAGAATCCTATAAGGTAATCCCAAAAAGGAACTAGTTTGGGTCCTATGGGTAGTTGTATGGTACTCTATGAACACACACAGGGAGGACTTTTCAGATCGACAGGACCTCCTGTTCTCAGTTTGGGTGCCATGGCTCCAGGCAAAGTTTAGGTTTCTGGCCACTTCGGAAAATCTCGGGGGCGGGGGGTTTGGGTTTTAGGGTTTCGCCCGGGTAATAATCACTCAGGGTGGCATCAAACACCAAAGGCCAGCACTGGAAGGGCTGTGCCGGATGTTGGACTGAGGAAGGGGGGTTAGGAGTTTGGGTTCAAGAGGTGGCAGCCTACCCTAAATAGTAGGATCCTTATTATAAGGACCCCAAAAAGTAAGGTACCCCTAATTTCTGGAAACTCCCACATAGCTGTCAGAGTTTCAAGCGCAAGGATGCCGACTGGGCAGGAAGTTCGTGGTGGTGTTCTCACAGCTCACAATATGGTTTTGGGGTGTAGGGCCTTTAAATCCAAGGGCTTTTCTGGTATAGGGTTCTGGGTGTCAGGATTAGACTTGAACCCAAAAATCACCCGAACATTCCTAAATGCACCCGTACACGCTAAACCCGAAGACCCCAAAACAGATTGAAGGAGCCCTGTGACGCTCGGGAGCCTGGGATTGGCAGATTGTGTTTGATAGCTCACAGTTCTTCTCTCTCAGGCTTCCGATTTTAGCTTTCTTTTACCCAAAGGCCCCAAAGTAGTTCCTTTTTGGTGTTCATATTTGATTACAATCCTATAAGGTAACCCCAGAAAGGAACTACTTTGGGGCCTATGGGTAAGCTGTTTTCTGAAGGCCCCTGTTTTCCCCGCTGCTTTAGGGTGTAGGGCTCAGGGTTTAGGCTTCCCCGACAGGTTCAGGCTGAGGGTTCGATGAAATTAACTTATTTGTGACGAAAGGCATTTCGGCTCGACTCGCCGATCTGTCAGGCTATGGCTTGAGGCACCGTCGTCGGCATCTCGAAGACCCTTATATGTATATATATATATATATACACACATATATATATATATATATATATATATATGTATACCCGCACATTCGTGGTTTCTATATCTTTATTACTTTGTATAATGGTTATGATGATTGCTATTGTTATTGCTATTACTGTTTAGTTTCAGCCTGCGTTAAGATGTGCCTTGAAGGGCCGTTTCTACGCCTACGCCTGACAATCACTGAAGGACAGTATCCGGATACCTTCAACTCGAAATCCCGTCGTGAATGCCGAAATCCAGTGGGTCCTGCTGGAGGAAGCAGCTCCTCGAACCTGCAGCGGAGGTTGCAGCTTCGAGCTTCTGGTGGTATAAAAGTGTAGTAGTTGTTGTTGTAGTCGTCGTCGTCGTCGCGGTCGTCGTCGTCGTCGTCGTCAGGGTGGAGGTGGTGGTGGTGGTGGTGGTGGTGGTGGTGGTGGTGGTGGTGGTGGTGGTGGTGGTGGTGGTGGTGGTGGTGGTGGTGGTGGTGCAGGTGATGCCGATGCTGGTGCTGGTGCTGGCAGTGGTGATGGTGGGGGTGGCGGCGTCTGTCGGCTGTGGGGCCGCGGCTGTTACGACAGATGTCAACGAAAAACAAGCCCCAAACTTGAAGTTCGACCTGATCAGCATGTCACAGACAAGCAACTGATATAGTCTACAGAAGTCATCCTACAAGTAGTTCATCTAACAAACACAGTTTTGATCAAGTGTGAAGTAATCAGTTCATACTGCAGGTGAGGGCACCAACTACACGGCTGCTGGTGATGTTGACGATGTCTGGAAGAGCATGGTGGCTGTCGTTGCTAATGTAAGCTGTTACTGCTGCTGTTCCCAGCTAACCTTTCTCATGGATGTCACGCTCTCCCTTATTGTAGCTGTACAGTCAAGGTAAGTTCCTGGACCAATGAAGATGATGAAGCTCGCAGTTGCATCGGTCTCGACATGACTCACCCTCAGGCTCCATGTACCCATATAGTATATACTTAGGCCTTAAAGTCCCCTTTTAGGGACCTATAAGGCTTAAGTATCCACTATAAAGGTACATGGGGCCTTGCTGACGCAAAACGAGTATCACTGCGGAAGAAGGGCTGCTCATCAGCCAGGCCGCATTCGCCAAACCACCATTGGACCTGGTGCCGCAGCTTGGCTTAAGGAGCTTTCCAGAAGCTTCACAGCAATCAAAACCCCAGCTTGCAGAAACTCTATGAGCTAGGGCCAGGGATTTATAAGTCCTGAAGTACTCCTGAAAGCCCCGGCTTCTGGACAAGCTTGGATTTTGCGATATCTGGCTACAGACAAGACCTCGAGACGCGCAGTACCAATAGCATCTTACAGGGCAGAACCCGACACGTGCCGGGGACAATACTTATTTGGGTGTCGAGCAGTAGGGAATATGTGGAATGGAAGAGACAGCGCCAGCGCCAGCGCCAGCGCCAGCAGCAGCAGCAGCAGCACCACCACCAGCACCAGTATCATTATTGCTGGTCCACTGTGCTGATCCGCGGAGGTTGTGACATTCATAATGTTCACCATCATTAAGTCAGAAACTGCAATGTTCATCATCAGCAGCATCAACACCATGGTGACCATCATCATCATGATCGCCATCGTCATCATCGTCATCATCGTCGGTTTCCATGTCACTCTGTCGACTTCAGACATATACTCTCTTTCTCTCGCTGCTAGTATGCGAATGCTGGCATCCACTACTGTACACCGGGTCTGATGGGCCGAGAAGACATCAGAACTCACGTGGGGCGGCCACTGTACATCTACGAGAGACTGCCAGCACTTTGTCGTGACAGCAAGCCCCTCTTGCCCTCATGTGTGGTGCCCCTTGTGCCTCAGTACTCGAGAGCCTCCTGCCCTTCGACGTCTGTCAAGCTATCTTTAATGGCATCTGCTAACCTGAAGGGAAGTTAGTGCTCAGTCTTCTCGAGAGCGCTTCTTGTCATGCTTGGTTGCGACGATGCTGTACATCATCGGTGTTACAGGGCTTCCCGACGGTGGTGCATACCGAGCATCCTGCGGAAGTCCCCCGTAGCCGGCAACCGGCGCGGCAGAATCCCCTGTACCCTCTGGCTGACCTTTGGGTGCTTCGGGTGGCGATGGGACATTGCAGCTGCACAGGGATTCGTGCATCTGATATCCGTTAACATAAGGGTATTCTGTGAGCGACTGGAGATGCATCTGCCTCGTTTCCAACAGGCTCGATACGATATCACCGACTCCCCAGGCGTATTCCATCGAAGGATTCGGGTTCTGAAACGTGGTATCTTGACCTATGTAGTCCGACACCCCATCATCACTTGGACATGAGTTGCCACCGAGGCAGTCATATTTCAGCTTCATGCTTTGCCAATCCAGTGCCATAGCAACGGCATGGAAGTCTATGATCACGAAGCGACCGCCTGGTCGCAAGACGTTGGCAATACCCATGGCCCAGGTCTTCAAATTACTCAGCCAGTTTACGGTGCCATAGCTGGAGTAGACCACGTCAACACTATTGCTGTGGATAGGGTCGTTCAAGTATTCGACGACATCCCGGCGAGTGAAACGCACCTCCGTCGTTGCATCGAAACACTTCTGTTCCAGCATCTTGGTGCTCAGCTCCTTTGCGAAATTTACAGCGAAGTCGCTAATGTCCACTCCATGCACTTGCCGAGGCTTCAACCATCGTGCAATCGACACAGTGTCTTGGCCATCGTTGCACTGCAGGTGCAGGACATCCTTGCCTTTCAGGTCGCCGAGCAACTTCATGTCCTCTGCAAAGAGCTTGTTGCGGGCCTTGTCAACGTAGTCACTGACCAGCTGTGGTTGATGTCTGTGGTGCTGCTCAGTGGCCAAATTCCACGAGCTCCGATTTTGCTCATGCTCCTCCGTACGCATTGTAAAGGCCTCCATTGCAATGAGCAAAGAGACCCAGAAAGGCTAGACCTTCCCAGCTGGAGCAAGGGAAGCTGGCAGCTGGAACATGAACAGTTCTAGCTGCTAGCTCCATGGAACTGAAAGGCTTTAGGGATTTTTCGGGAAAAGAGTGAAGAGGACATTAAAGAGATCGGACTTCGGCCTGTTTTCACACTTCTAGAGCTGAGGTCACGGCAGTCGACTGCAAAGCCGTTGTGTTTGTGTTCTCCGCATCGAAGGGTAGCAGCATGGCCTTAAGCGCCACGATTCTGTGTCACGCCTGTGGCGTTCGTCAATGAGCTACAAGCTGTGGACATGCCTGCACCACCGCCAGCAACCCAACCCTACACTCTTAACCCTAAACCAGGGTCGCAGCACTCCTTGCCGAGCAGCAGTTACATGCCCGTCGCTTCCCACGTTGGATGCGTAGCGCAGCGCTGCCTCCGCTGCGCTGGAGGAGTGCTTGCACCGCGTGCAAAAGCACTGTGAAAACTCTCGTTTAGAGGCCTCCAAGACAAGCATGTTCCAAGAAACGCAAATCTGAACATCTCTGTACCAGGTATTTATGACAGGACATGTCTCCTGCGCCCTAGCCTGTTCAGTCATCACTTCGAAAAGCGGATTTCCGAACTTTCTGCTCATGTCTTTGCTTGAATTTAGGGTTTGGATGGGTTTGGGTAGGATTTGCAGTATGCATTCATGCGACAGCGAAGCGGGATCTTGCAGATCAGTAAGGCAAGCCGATATGCAGTCTTTGCTCAGTCTTTGCAAACGGTCTTACTACCTTCTGCTGCCTCCTGGCTGCAACTACCCCGAATGCTCAACCTGCCAGGTTTTCCAATGCAGCACACCTCCTTTTTGCACTCAAAGTCTCGAAGTACTCCCTCCTTTAAATCGGCGCCTTGCTTGGCTCCGACAGGTAGGGATTGGCATCCGAAACGACCAGCAGCACGCGACGAGGCTGGCGGCAGCATGCGAAAGTGATGTCTTCAGCGGTATACGGATTTAGAATTCTGCCAGTTTGCAAGGACGAGGAAGCTCTGACTGAAACAACATGGAGCTTTGGCCGTGCTGTTAAAAGCATACGACTACCTCGGCTGCTTCAGCAGCAGTCGTAGGCGGCGCAACCGTTTCAGCCTGACAAAGTGCCGGCTTTCTTTGATCTGTAAACCGCTCGCTTTCTGGCGTGTCCAATGACAGGCTCTCCACAACCGATTCTGCCCTGAACGAACATGCAGGGACGCACATCATTCTAGTGGTCCATCTCAGGCACATGAAGTGATCATGGGTGAAACACACGAGCTTCGCAAAGAATGATGCATGAATCTCAAGGTGGCACAGTCGAACCGATGACTCTGTCGGATCACACAAGTCCCTAAACCCTAAACCCGAAACTCCAGACCTCTGGCGAGGTCTACAGTCGGAGCTCCGTGGTCTGAGACTGTCCCCGTGCAGATCCTAAAGCCCTCAAGCATCACTCCTCGAAAGAATATCTCTATTCTGACTATGGAAGGTCCCTGTATTGTAGTATCCTTATAATACCCCTTATTAACATTTATATAGAGCCCTTTAACGGAGACTCCGAATGTTCAACCCTTGCTTTCTTCATCCGGAAGATCCGGAAGCGGTGCTCGAGTGACTCTATAGACTGGAGTTTATGAAGAGATCGTTCCGGAGCAGTGATTCCGGAATCGGAGACAGCAGCACGATGCAACCCTGCAGACCACGCCTCTGCGGCACGACGCACGCGTGCCTGACCAAAACCAGGGGCGTGCCGGATGCAAGTATGTAGGCATCTATGTACATGCTCACTAGAAGAAAACTTGGCTGTATTGCGCTCGAAGTTCCGTGATTAGTGCGGCAATTTCAGGGCTGCTTACTGTCGGAGTCGTTGATGTTTCTATAGTCTTCTCGAGGTGGGAGTCATGAGAAATGACATCCCTACAGGTCTAAAGTACTAATAGATAGCAAGGCCCTATTGAACCTATCAAGGCGCAGATGGCAGACCCGAAGTCAGCTGGGGTAGGCAGCCTTCAGTGGCTGTCCGGGGGCCATAAACGTCCTGGCATTCAGGATGCTTCGGTCTGTTTAGGGTTTAGGGCCTTTTGTGCTTGGTATTTAGCTTCTGGCATTTCATCTCCGCTTCTCGGCTTGTCTGTTCAACTGTATGAATGTACATACTCAGCCAGAGGCAACTCGACTATATGGGAGTTTCCGAAAACTCGGGGTACCTTATTCTGGGGTCCTTATTATGGTAAGGGTCCTACTATTTAGAGTAGTATATTAGGGTCCCCCTCTTTTTGGAAACTCCCATATCGGGTGAGGATTCGGGAGCAATCACGGAACTGTGTCCTCCACTGCCTACACATACCTGCCTATGCATACATCGCCATCTAGATGTCTCTTGAAACTGCATAGGTGTATGCCTATACATGGACGGCTTGGATGCCGCGATAAATATTGCAAGTAATGCCAGTATGACTACCACGAAACTGCCATGCCCACTTACCCATACTTTTATCAAGCAGCGAGTTCTGTCTCACATCTTCCTTGCGGGGTACAGTGCAAATCTCGAAATCTCGCGGGCCACCGCGACTGGAACCATATCGCCGCGACGACAAGCAGCACCAAGCATGACCGAGTCTTCTGCGCCATGGCTTGTGTGGTGGACCGATAGCAGAGGTCTTAAGAAGTAGAGTAGTAGCTCAGGTTTCTGAAGTACTAAATTATAATGCTATAAGACTATAAGACTCTGAGCCTCAAGGAATGTCGTGGGTGCGACTTAGCCGCTTCAACGAGGAAATGTCCTCGATGATGCCCATGCCCTGCGTGGTGTCTTTGACGTTCCACATGGAGCCCGGAGCCGCAACAGCTGTTTGAAAGTTTCGCATGTAGCCTTTCAGTGTTTAGGGGTTTAGGGTTTAGGGGGGTTTAGGGTTTAGGGTTTTAGGGTTGAGGATTTTAGGGTTTAGGCTTTAGAGGTTTAGAGGTTTAGGGTTTAGGCTTGCCATCCTAACGGTTACCTAACGTTCAGAATTGAGTAACCCGTGGGATTGGATTTTTACTTGGCCCAGTGTCGGCCGATCGCCTTCTAGGAAGACTACAAGCCTGCAACCCGTCCACGCATTCCATGCATGGGACTTTTGGGAAGGCCTTGATTTGTTTATATCCAGAGCACATCCAAGCTCTTAGACATACCCAGCCGGCCTCAAAGTGTAGACAACAAGCCCATTCCCGCTCAACTCCTCTCTATTCTCAGCCCGGTCAGGGCCCATGCCCACCCACCGCAGCACCATCACGAGGAAGGCGATGAGGATGGCGGTGACGATTGGCAGCACGGACGGCATCGGGATCTGGATTCAGCAGTTCACACACTCACAGCAGTGCTTCCCATATGCAAAGGCAAGCGCAACTTCAGACAATCGAACAGTAGAAGCTCACGAAATCAACGAGTTCGGCCATAAGTATGGAAATCGCGACCCTGCCTGCATTCCCAAGGAAGCGAAGAACAGCGTAATGAAGAAGTCACGGATGTACTTGATCTTCCCGTTAAACCTTGGGCCGCAGAGACGTGGAGTCCACCCCTGTAGTCTACTGCACCTCCAAGACCTTAGCGTACTGCAACCCTACTTAAAGGATCATGGGACTTAGTAACTAGGGTTATAATTAAGGTAACTATACGAATATCTACTTGTAACCCCAATTAAGGAACTTATAACCTTACGAACCAAGTCCCATGATCCTTCAAGTATATCAGACTCATGCTGGATCCGACGTCCCAACTCTTCACTCTGGGAGAAAAAGGGAGCGCAGCGGCAGCTAACATAGGCCGCTACTGTTTGACACCTTGCAGTCGTCCTCGCCCGTACATACTAGCACAATCAACGTACTCGTAATCAACATCCGAGGTTGCAGCGGCTGTACGCAAGAGCTGTGTCTTCAGAGCGAATCGAGCGCCGTTTAGTTCCGCGCAACACCGCAAGCACAAAATTCGGAGCGACTACGGCCACGTCTATGTCAGTGCTCAGAAGTGTGGCCCTAGCTGTTGCGTGTTTTTGCGATTGTCTCGGGGCGGCGGTTAGGGCAGCGTTTGCAAGGGGTGGGTGCATGAACAGGTCATTGTATACAGTACATAGTAGGTCTACATGTGTTGGCGTTGAGGTGGATACCCGGACAGTTTCTTTGGTTGGTCTGCAGTGTTGCGAAGAGCGTGGTGAAGGAGGGCCTTGTAAGTCGAGCTTGTAACGTGGGTGAATCATGAACATGGTCTACGTCCCAAACTCCGAACATTTAAAAATTGGATCCTAAATCTCCACATTCCTGGCAGTTGCAGCCACGGAGCTCTGCACTGTAAGGGAATGTAGCGAGCGCCACTCCTGGCGAAATAAGTTGCAGAGAGTGCGGCTTGGGGTTTCGGCTTGGCGATTCAGATTTAGGTGGTTTATGCTGTGGATCCCTTTCTACCAACCAGTGCTGTCGCACAGAGGTCTCGGGTATACGTTTTCAGCCCCTCTTCATACAATGATACAATGCAATCACTGGCACGGACAGCGAACCCCGGTCCTGCAATAAGAGCTGCAAGCTCCATGCCGACACCCACCTTCCCATTGCAATACTATAGGGCGGGGGCGCAAAGGTTGTAATGAGGTTTGTGGGTTTACAGAAAGTGACGAGATGGCGCTTTAAGAAACAACATCACGAATTCCTCAGGTTCAGAGCCCACTTGGCGAAGGTTTCTGAAACGCAGTGGTCTCTTTTCGCAGGACTCCATATGGGTGGTTGTCAAAACTAGGGTCCCCTAATTATTAGGTGCCGTATTATAATAGGGACCCGAAAAGGGACCCTAATTTTGACAACCACCCATATGCACGAAGCGTCCATGTGTCCAATTGCTCTCCGGGTTCGAGAAATGTATGGGGTGGTTGTGAAAATTATGGTCCCTTGTTGGATACCCGAAATATAGTGCCGCATTTTAATAAGGATCCAAAAAAGAGCCT